TATTTTAAGTTTTAGATGGGGCCAAATTACAAATTGTAACCGGGCCAAGTTATAATTTTAACTCGGGTCAAATTATAATTAATTATATAATTATATATCATAAGTACAAATTGTTAAAATTTAGCCCGAACCGAAGTTACTTCCAGAATACACGTGACTCCACCACTGAACAAAAATGAGTTACCAAAAAGTGTTGCAGATTGTACTAAAAGGAAAGTGTTGCAGTTAGGGGTGACAAATCCATCGGACAAGTTTATGGCGTCTTAAGGTCTGACTTGCGGGTGAAATTGTCAAATTTGAACACAAGACATATTTATTTGTGCGTCCAAAATTCAAACCTAGATATAACTCGTCGCGAGTCGCAGGTCACATGAGTTGAAATGCAAAAATTAAAAATTTGATTCACCAAAATTTTAACTCTTTTTTTTACGAAAAAAATTCGCAAATTGACACATAAATCAACATATGACTCTATACAACAATAATTAATATTATATTTTTAAATACAAACATAACCTATTTGAATCCATTGGTTCACGCAATATGCATTTTAACTTGTCATATCACGAGTTAATGCATGGGTCACCATGCGTGTTACCACTCTTAAAAAGAGTATAGTGCAAAGTTTAAAATTCTGCACTATCATTGTTTTGCATAATTCAACAAATAAATTTATCTCAGTTTGTTGGTAAAAGAGCATAAATATTTACTTGAACGCCTAACAAAAGAACAACAAAATGTGTACCACAGAATCATGGAAGCAACATCTGCAAATAAAGGTGGATTATTTTTTCTGTATAGTTTTGGAGGCACGAGAAAGACTTTCATATGGAAAACATTGTCGGCTACTTTCAGATCAATATGAGAAATTGTTCTTAATATTACTTCAAGTGGAATTGCTTCATTATTGTTACTTGGGGGAGAACTGTTCCTTCCTGGTTCTGCATACCAATTGATATCAATGAAGATTCCACTTGTAACATAAAGCAAAATTCGGCTCGAGCTGTGTTGTTGTCAAGAGCTAAATTAATCATTTGGGATGAAGCATCAATGGTTCATAGATTCTGCTTTGAAGCTTGGGATAGAACATTGAGAGATATCCTTCATTTTTCAAATCCAAAATGTTCTGAACAACCATTCGGTGGGAAAGTCATTGTTCTCAGAGGTGATTTCAGACAGATCTTGCTTGTTATTCCTCGTGGTGGAACGAAAGAAATTATAAATGCAAAAATTAATTCTTCAAATCTATGGCAATATTGCAGAATGTTGATGGAGATTAAAATGTTCTCTGAATTGCTTCTTGATGTTGGTGGCGGCAACGTTGGTGACAATGTTGATGGATTCTCTATCATAAAAATCCCTAATGAAATATTGATCAATGATTCCAATTATACACTCGGATTTAGTATAATTTGCATATCCAAATCTTTTGAAAAATATGGATAATTCGTATTTCTTCTAAGAACGTGATATCTTAGCACCTACATTAACAAATGTCTGCATATTAAATGAGTACTTAACGTCAACTATTCCAAGTGAAGAAAATGTATATCTTAGTTCAAATAACATTTGTAAAGAGAAGGGAATAACAATCTTGAGGAAGAAGCATTTCCTCTAGAAATACTTAACACTTTTTTCTGGAACTAGACTTCCTAACTGTAAATTAACGTCCAAAAAAGGAGTGTCTGTCATGCTTCTAAGGAATATAGATCAATTAAGAAGGTTGTGCAACGGAACACGATTGCTTATTACAAAACATGGTGAACATGTTGTTGAAGGAAAAATTCTTTCAGGAAATAACATATGTGAGACCGAGATAATTCCAAGGATGAATTTGAGTCCTTCTAATTACACATTCCCTATAAAGTTTGAATGGAGACAATTTTCGTTGGTTGTTTGCTTTGCCATGACAATAAAAAAGAGTCAAAGCCAGACTTTATCTTATGTAAAAGTTTATCTTCTAAAACCAATTTTTACTCATAGCTAATTGTATATTGCTCTCTATAGGGTCAAAAGTAAGAAGGGATTAAAGCTTCTCATACTTGACGATCATGGCACAATTGCCAATACTACAACAAACATTGTATTCAAAGAAATTTTTTAAAGGTTGAAATAAGTTAATTTGTCTTATTCGTTGAACTATTTTCATTAATTTACAAAGTTTGCTATTTCACTATAATACGTAAGTACATGTAATTTTATTGTTCATTTAGTTATATTTTATATTTTTTACTTAATATCGTCTCGTGCAAAGGCACGAGTCATACACTAGTGAGGTTATGTATTCGATTTTCACTTGTATTCAGAAAAAAAGATAATATATTGTATAAGATAATATCATCCAGTATTTGGTAATGCACCGTATAATCTAGATATGATAAAAATAAATATTTTGATAAAAATAAATATTTTGATAAAAATATCCTTTAATAAAGAATTTATTTAATTCTTCTAAATATATCATATGATATTAATTTTTATTAAAATAAAAATCTTCAATATTTAAAAAAAAATTATATAGAATAATTAATTTTGATTTTAAAATATTAATATTAAAATACATTAATTCTTGAGAATTGGACTGGTCAGCAATATTAATACACCAATCCCTTTTCAGGCCTAATATCACCCCTTAGGCCTGATTAAGTTATATATTATTTAGATGCATAAAGGGATTCTGCTATATAAGTTTATATTATATCATGGTCACACACCAAACAATTAAAAATATCATAACATCTAGTATAAGCTTATAATACTATCAGACTTTATATATCACATCAAACAGGTCCAATAAAATAAATGAAAAGTCAAAAGCTACAACAAAATAGTTATATCATAGAAAAAAATCAAAATTAAAAAATTGTCATATTACAGAATTTTTATATTTATTTTTATTTTATTTTTGTAAATACAAAACTTTTATATTGCATATGGATAAATATGTAGATAACTGATGTTAAAATTTTAAGACTTTAAGATTTTATAAAATACTAACACCTGTATAATAAATCATGTGATAATTTATTTATTTATTTGGTAAAAGATATTTTACTTCTTTAGTTTATTTTTCCTGAGCGAATTTAGATCCTTAAGAGTATATTTGGACGGAAGATTATGAAGGGAAAGGGAAAAAGGTTTTTCCTTTTTTTTAATTAAGAGTTATATAATGTGTATAAAAGTAAACAAGAGATGATAATAAGATTTCATGATAAATTGATAATCTATCATTTTATTATTTTCATTCTTAAAATTATTGTATTAGATAATATTTACTTAAAATGAAAAAAATTATCCAATTTTTTTCCTTTCCAAAACTTCAGCTCAAGCATATCTTAAAATAAGAAATGCAGTGCATTCAATGTGGAATTCTTCTACAAAAATTTCAATGTTATGCAAATATTTTCATTCCTTTCGATTTCTTTTTAACTGAAATCAATCTTAAAGTGTAAAGAAATTTTATTTTTTACGATTTTGAGTTATAACTGACCACATTTACATGTGTACAAGTTGATGAAAAATTCAAATGAAATTAATTCCATAATTATATGGTGGGTGTTGTATAAGCAATATTACAACCACTCTTTTTACGACTCCAAGCATATTTTAATTGTACTGTAAATCGAATTCTTCGTCCTTGTATTTGGTGGCTCTTTTATGGGCCAATCACATTTCCCAGCTAAATAAATAGACTATTTAACCATTTTGTCCCACGTTAATTAATTAATAATTATTTTGTTCCTGATTCGAAACTATCTATTAATCTGCTCATTTTTAATCGACTACTTTGCATTTTTAATCGACTAAATGGTTGTTGGGAGATTTAATCGACTAAATCTCCCTACTTAATCGATTAAAATCATACTGACTTATTTTCTTTTGTTGTCAAATATGGAGATTTAGTCGACTAAATAGGAAGATTTAGTCGACTAAATCTCCCAACAGCCATTTTTTTGTCTGTTTTGATCATTTAGTCGATTAAAAATGCAAGGTAGTCGATTAAAGAGGGACAGATTAATAGATAATTTCAAATCAGAGACAAAATAATTATTAATTAATTAATAAAGACGTGAAAAAGCCTAGATAAATATATACACCGGCGTGGACCACACTGCACTAATAAATTATTTTATACTCACCGGTATCGATGCAATAAAAGAGATAGCTCCATCTCAAAATGAGCCATAATAAATATATTTATTTCTCCAGAGTTCTCATTTTTCCTTTACCAACATTCAATTTCATTGGTGTGAACGGTTATCGGAAGGAAGCCTATCCTGAATATAATTGGAATTCCACTTTCACAAGCCTCGCAAGAAATGCTTCGCACGTGCGGGAAAAGCATACAGGCTAGAAAAATCAAGTACTAGTGACTAGAGCCGGCAAAACGGGCTCGGCTCGGCAGGCCAACCCGCCCAACATGTCCAGCGGAGCTGAGTGGGCTGAGTTTTTCAACCCATATCAAAAGCGGAGCGGAGCGGGGCGGACTCAATTTTTGGCAGGTTGATGGCGGGCATAGGCGGGCCGAGGCGGGTCAGCGTAAAATAGGCTCGGGCTGGCGGGTCAATTCGCCCAACCCGCCAAACGGGGCGGGGCGGACTGAGTTTTTTAGCCCACTTTCAAAAACGGAGCAAGGCGGGCTGACTCATTTTTTGGCGGGTTGATGGCGGAGTGGAGCGGGGCGGGGAGGGCTGCCCACTTTGCCACCTCTACCAGTGACCCTGATAACTAATTAAGCCTCAAAACTTTGGTTGGTTTGAATCGAAAAGGAAGGAAAGAAGGGAGAACTGAAAATTTTATCTTTGGATGTTTTACAAGATGATATCAAAATTATGTCATTATTCACTATATATATATATATATATATATATATATATATATATATAAAAGTAAAAATGTTTTTTAAAGTCTCACTTTCTTGTTTTCCTTTATCTTTTTTTTTTTCCTTGAACTATTCTCTTCCCTTCCCCTTAACCAAAGAGTGGAAGTAAAGAAAAAGATGGAGATTTGTAACCTGAGATACTTAACACTTCTTCATGTTATGTTACAGTCGGACATGCTATATATGCTGGAGAAGATTTGACCTTAACCAATAAGCAGACTTAAACGGGTAGAATACCGAAACTTAGCCGAGCAAGTTATCTGTTTGAACAATGCATTGTGGAAAAAACGCTTTTTACTGTTCTTTTGTTCCCTATAAGTCTGATGAGAAATTGTATTGCTACTAAGTCCAAGGAAGGCGTTATTCCTTCTTTATGTTGTGCATGCACCCTTCAATAATACTTTCTGAACACGCAGAAGATGAAAGACGTAGCTTTCAAACATCACCTGATCTGACAAGTTAATTTGATCATTGTTTTCTTTTCCACTCACCGTGTTTCTTTCTTCACGCTGCCAATTTTTCATTTCTGTATAAAGAAAGAAGAGCAGCATGTATACGGCATAAGGAAACGTGAAGTCGTGAACTGATTTGCATTTCCAAAACAATAAATGAGCAATATACAAGGGAAATTAGATTAGATAAAGCCAATGAATTGCATACCTTCATTTGTACTTTTACATATAAGGGGAGTTTCAGCATCACAATTGATCCTGGTGAAAATTTCAGTTTCCTTAGTATATATCTCATATAAGTATTATGAGAGTGCTGACACCAGCCACCAAGCCAAGAGAAAAAATATAGGAATTAAGGATAGACATACTTTCTTTTATCTACTTGGTTTTCGTGTTTGTCATGTTTCTTCAGAGACGATGATATCTCCTCCACATGGCCAGGAGAATCAGCTGTTCCAAGACACGCTGTTGTTTTTGGATCTGTGTCGTCTGTGCCTTGCGCATGATTATTGGAAGTTGGAGCATCTCCTGTCATTTTCTTTTCTGAGGACAATTCTTTATCTCCCATGAAAATATCTTCTTCTTGCTCAAAATTTTTGTACGTGTCTTTTTGCAATTTCACTTTTCTCTCACCTTTGCTAACACTTCCCTGTACTGACATATCAGAAGATGAAGTCTCACAATTAAAACCACCAGCATCTAGAGGCTTTCTTTTGAACTGAAAATCAGGAGATAAACTTGGGCTGGTTGGCCATGACAAATCATTCGGGAATGCAGTTGAACAATCGAATGCAAAATTTTCAGGGGTAAAACTGCAAGGAGATGAATCTGCAAGAGGTGCAGCATTTTTAAATCCACCAAAGGAAGGACTGGCCTTGTTATGTAATTCCGGAGTAGTAATGACCATAAAAGGATCTTCAGTCCTATTCTTGGAGTCGAAGGCTGTAAAGTTTCTCTCTAAATCTCGGCAGAATGAAGTGGCAACAGAACTTCCATGAGCAGAAGCATATCTTTCCTCAAACTGCCAACTGTTATTTGCACCCAACTCTTCCTGGAGAAGAGAGTTCGAAAAATGAGATGATTTTTGCTTCGATGGATTTGACATACTTCTGTATTTTTCGTCCTCAGTACTGCACTTATTTCTAGTGCTTGCAAAAGCATTTCTATGTTTTCTTCTTTCCTCGCCTGTCACTTTTCTTGATGGTGAATGTTCGATGGCCTTACCCCTCACTGACATAAAATGCAGACATTCTAAGAGTGGTACCAATGATTTATGTATCAAATAGAACTATTGCGTTTGTGTGTGTGTGCGTGAGAGAGAGAGAGAGAGAGAGAGATAAGACGATATATTACCGGCAGTGGATGAACTTGACTCTTCGCTGACGGAAAGAATACAAATAATAGTCAAACACAAGCTACAGACTGAGTATAAAAAAACAGATAAAATCACCTTGGAAGCCAGGACTATTCTGATTTTACCTCAGCAAGCTCGAATTATCCCTTACATCTTCTGGAATTAAATTCTGAGCATTGAAGTTTCCATCTAATCTAGAACATCTACGACCACACAAAAACATAAGCAAATGCTCATCTCATATAATACCTCAAACTTAAAGATTTAATTGATTAATTTTAATTAAATAATTAAGCCTGTTTTAGTGAGTAAAATTAAGTATAAGACTTAATTAAATGAATCCGAGTCACTTTGGAGTTAAAAAGTGTACTCAGTGAAAATTAAGGGGTATAAATGGGTACTGGCAAAAGTGCCCAAAATATAAAAATAAAATTATAAATATTCCTAGAATAATATTCCAAACTTTTGGATAAAGTTTGGTAATTAATGGAGTTGAATAGATAAATGAACCAATACCCACTTGATTCCACTTAACTAATGTTAAGTGACTAAAAAAGAAAAAAAAAACCCAAAACCCTCCCCATTCCCGTCGCCAGAAAGAAGAAGAAGAAGGAGGAGAAGAAGAAAAAGGGAGGGAGAAGAAGAGAGACGAGGGAGGAAACCTTGACCATTTTGAGTGATTCAAAAGCCTAAATCGCTTAGAATCTCGCCTTCTTTCATAATCCAAGCTTAATTCTGAGTGGAGAGCATTGTGGAGAGGGATATTGCCCCTCAAAAATTCGCCCATTTGGTGAAATTTGGGGTTTTGGAGGTTTCAACCTCCATTGAAACTTGAGGAGCCATCAATCCTTGGTTGTGCAACCGTTGGTGGTAAGATTCTAACCCTTGAACCTTGTTTTCTTGGAAAATTTCATGGTTAGGGTTTAATGAATAATGTTTTTATTGAAAAGAAGTTTTTGTATATTGATATTGAATAAATTACATGAGTGAGTATTTATACAAGAAAGAATCGCTAAGAATGACTAAGCGATGACTAATCAATCCTATCACAATCCTAATCACAATCAATTCTAATCAATCACAATTAATCCTAATCAATCATAATCAATCCTAATCAATCCTAATTAATAGGAAATAAAAACGGAAACATGTTTGAATTCTAATTTTCTACACTCCCCCTCAAGTTGGGAGGTAAATATTGATCATTCCCAACTTGCCAATCAAGTCTTCGAATGCTGGACGGTGTAGGCCCTTGGTAAGGACATCTGCCGTTTGCTCTTTGGTTGGAACATATATCAAATGCACACTTCCATCATCTAATTTTTCTTTGATGAAGTGACGATCAACTTCCACGTGCTTTGTTCGATCATGATGCACAGGATTTTGAGCAATGCTAACAGCTGCCTTGTTGTCACAATATAGTTTTATTGGTAGGGAATATGAAATCTTCAACTCTTGTAGAAGTCTTCTTAACCAGATTCCTTCACAAACTCCATGAGCTAAAGCTCGAAATTCTGCTTCAGCACTACTTCTTGCAACCACTGTTTGCTTTTTGCTTCTCCAAGTAATAAGATTTCCCCACACATAGGTGCAATAGCCTGAGGTAGATCTTCTGTCTACTGATGAGCCTGCCCAATCTGCATCAGTGTAGATTTCAATTGTCCTTTTATACCCCTTTTTAAAGAATAATCCTCTTCCTGGAGTATTCTTGAGGTATCTAAGCACCCTATAGACTGCACTAAGATGCTTCTCCTTGGGTGAGTGCATGAATTGACTAATCATACTCACCGCAAAGGCAATGTCAGGACGCGTATGAGATAAGTAGATTAGTTTACCAACCAATCGCTGATATTGTTCTTTATCCACCTCATTCCCATCTTCAATACCTAACTTGGTATTAGGTTCCACAGGTGTCTCAGCAGGTTTACACCCTAACATTCCTGTTTCCAACAAAAGATCTAGAACATATTTCTTTTGTGTTAGAGTGATGCCTGTTTTGCTCCTAGCAACTTCCATACCAAGGAAATATTTGAGAGTGCCAAGGTCTTTGAGTTCAAATTGAGCTGCTAGAAATTTCTTCAAGGTGTTCAATTCCTCAATATCATCACCTGTAAGAATTATATCATCTACATATACAATAAGAATAGCAATTTTACCATCCTTAGAGTGTTTGTGGAAGAGAGTATGATCAGTCTGTGCTTGAATGAAGCCTCTTCTTTTGACTGCTTGTGTGAATTTGTCGAACCATTCTCTGGGAGACTGTTTCAATCCATATAGAGACTTTTTTAGTTTACACACTGATTCATTTCCCCTTTCAAAACCAGGTGGAGGATCCATATAGACTTCTTCATGTAAGTCACCATTTAGGAATGCATTCTTCACATCTAACTGTTGCAGAGGCCAATCTAGATTGGCAGCAAGAGATAAGAGAACTCGAATGGTATTGACTTTAGCAACCGGAGCAAAAGTCTCATGATAATCTATCCCATGAGTCTGAGTGAAACCCTTTGCAACCAATCTTGCCTTGTATCTGTTGATGCTATTATCTGCATTGAATTTTATTGTAAACACCCATTTGCATCCTACTGCCTTTTTTCCTTTGGGTAGGGTCACTATCTCCCAAGTTCCATTTCTTTCTAAAGCATTCATTTCTTCAAAGACAGCATCCCTCCATTTTTTATCATTGAGAGCCTCATGTATATTTCTCGGTATCTTTGTACTATCCAATATAGTATTGAAAGCACGAAACCCTGGGGACAACTTTCCATATGAAATATGATTAGAAATAGGATGAGTAGTACAAGATCGAGTACCTTTTCTGAGAGCAATGGGCAAGTGTAGATCATTTTCACCATGACACTCAAGTATTGGGGTGCTGGAACTAGAACATGGTTCAGAATCCTGGCAGTGTAGAGGCTCTGGGTTATTCACACTTTGAGGAGGCTTTCGCCTGCTATAAACTTGTCCCCATGTTGAGGAGGCTCCTGATGGTGAGGATTCTGTAGCTCCCCCTGTTTCCAAAAGTAGAGGTAATACTGTGGCATTAATAGGTTCCCATGACTGATCTTCATCTACTCCTATAGACTCCCCCTGAAGAGAAGTCGAGGGGAAGAAAGGGTCATTCTCAGAAAAAGTGACATCCATAGAGACAAAGACCTTACGAAGAGAGGGTGAATAAAACTTATAGCCACGTTGAGTAGGAGAATAACCAATAAAGACACACTGGAGAGACTTAGGATCAAGCTTAGACCGTTGATGGGAGGGAATATGGACAAATACAACACAACCAAATAACTTGAGAGGTAAGGAGGAGACACCTCGGAAGGAAGGGAAGATACGAACAAGACTAGAAAGAGGAGACTGAAATTTCAGAATGCGAGATGGCATTCGATTTATCAGATACGAGGCAGTGAGAACTGCCTCTCCCCAAAGATATTTAGGAACACTCGTGGTAAACATAAGAGCCCGAGCAACTTCAAGGAGATGTCGGTTTTTTCTTTCCGCAACTCCGTTTTGTTGGGGTGTGTCAGGACACGAGCTTTGGTGAAGGATGTCATGTTGGGAAAGATATTCTCCAAGAATAGAGTTAAAATACTCTTTGCCATTATCTGTACGAAGAATTTGTATAGCAACTTGGAATTGGGTTTGAACCATGGCATGAAATTTTTTAAACACGGATGCAGCATCGGACTTATCCTTTAGAAGATACACCCAACAAACTCGAGAATGGTCATCAATGAAGGTAATGAACCATCGAGTACCTGAAATATTTTTAACACGGGCTGGACCCCATATGTCGCTATGAATTAAGGAAAATGGGGAAGAGTCATGGTGAACTTTAGAAGGATAATGAGCACGAGTATGCTTGGCAAGTTGACAAATATCACAAGAAAACAAACTTGGACTTTTATTAATAAATAAGTTTGGCAACAACTTCTGAAGATAAATAAAATTTGGATGGCCTAGCCTACGATGCCACAGCATAACATCATTACATGAATCAAAAGGAAACATAGAGTTTTTTTCTACGAAAACAGCTTCATGAGTCACATCCTCCTCAAAGTAGTAAAGTCCACCATCCTCTCTAGCACTGCCAATCATCCTCTCCGAGTCCTGTTCCTGAAAAACACAACCATGTGGAAAGAATTTAGCAAAGCAATGCAACTCAGAGGTGAGCTTGCTAATGGAAATGAGATTACAAGTCAGAGAAGGAACATAAAGAACTGATGTCAAAGTAATCAGCTCAGAAAGTTTAATGGTTCCGTGTCCCGCAATCTGGGAAAAACTGCCATCGGCGATCTTGACCCGAGAAGGTTCAGAATATGGAGTGTATGAACAAAACAAGCCAAGATTACCTGTCATATGATCAGAGGCTCCAGAATCAAGGATCCAATGATTTTGACTATCAACATGGAAAGTTGTACCTTGCTGGACCACATGACTAGTGGCCTTAGGAGGTTGCTCGTGGTAATAAAAAGAGTGTTTTGAGGAAGCCATGAATAAAAAGAGAAGGGTTGACCGTTGATGAAAAATCAAGTTTTGTAAACTTTTGATCTGACCTCTGGAACAGGAAGGGGAGAAGCCGGCGAGAAGGTCTGTGCAAGTCGCGACGGAAAAAAAACGTCTGGAAGGCGGCGCGTGGTGGCGCGTGCAGCGGCTGACGGCGATGGGTCCAGCGGCGGTCGACTCGTCGGATCTTTCTGAGTCGAATGGTCACCTCACTTTTTTGATCGGAGGTCAGTAAACTAGGTTTCTGTGTTGGACAGATTCAAGGCGGTGTTTAGGAGGTGTTTGACGGTGATGGAAGTGTTTGGATGGTTATTTCAGATTTGAATTAGGGTAGGAACGAACCCGCTCTGATACCATATTGAAAAGAAGTTTTTGTATATTGATATTGAATAAATTACATGAGTGAGTATTTATACAAGAAAGAATCGCTAAGAATGACTAAGCGATGACTAATCAATCCTATCACAATCCTAATCACAATCAATTCTAATCAATCACAATTAATCCTAATCAATCATAATCAATCCTAATCAATCATAATCAATCCTAATTAATAGGAAATAAAAACGGAAACATGTTTGAATTCTAATTTTCTACAGTTTTAGAGTTTTTATGAAATGTTGAGTAGATTGGCTATGTTCAAGGAAGAATGAGGCTTAGAGTATGTTGTGAAAAATGCTAGGAATGACATTTAATCGGTAGATATGAGTTTATAGTGTTATTTTAGTATGCTTTGATGTTTGGAGAAATCTAGGCTTGGAACTATGGATTTCCTTGCATTGTTAGCATTGTTTGATTGTATTCCTTGTGTTGATAGGATTGAGGCAGAAGGACCAAGTGGAGTGACCAACCCTTGGGGTTGTGTGCAATTGAGGAAAGCTCAAGAGCAAGGTAAACCTTTGGACCTTGGGGTTGATCCCATTGAGTGTTCCACCATACTCCATTGAGGAGAAATGGTTTATGAGATGTGATATGTAATTATGATAGTAATTGTATGCTCATGCATTGATTCATGCATTGATACATGTTATGATTGATTGATGATTATTGGTTGATGTTTGATTGTTTAAGAGTAATTGAGGAATGGTTATAGAAGTAGCAATAATGAATGAGGTAATGGTTGAGGATTGTGATTGAGGTTATGAGTGATAGTATTATGATGAGGATAATTGGTAGGAACTTCCCTTGGAAACAGCCCTATGTGGATCTCCATGTGGTTAGAGTCTAAGAGGAACAGCCTTATGTGGATCCCTCTTGGAGGTTCCTAAATTGAGGAAAGGACTTCCCTTAGAAACAGCCCTATGTGGATCTCCATGTGGTAAGAGCCTAAGAGAAACAGCCCTTAGTGGATCTCTCTTGGAAGTCCATGTGATGCTTGCTGATAAGAATGTGTTAAGCTATTATGATTATGTGTACATCGAAAGTGAACCTTAGGGTGGAGTGATCTCCAAGGACCTCTGGTTTACTGTGATATATTCGTATATCTCACCCCGTGTTATGGGGGCCCCCTTCAGGTAAGGAAGCTGCAGGAGCCTCTGATGGCAAGTGGCCTTATTTGCAGTAGATCATGCATGAAGAAAATGATGTTTTGAGATCATACATGTTATTTTGTAGATTTACATGTATAGGATTGATCATTGATAGCATTGACGTATGTATATCTCGTTATATTTGATGGACTTAGCCTATGATCATGTCATTGGATATCTCTTTTGTTGATGAGAGCCAAGGGATGGTCATAGCCTTTTGTAGCTAAGTTCCCCGTTATGTAATTAAACTTGTGTTAATGTTATTTACTTCAAGGTTATGAATGCATGATGAATATTGGAAATGTTGAGCTGAATTGTCTATTAGGAGCTAAGCTGTTAGATTGGGAAACGTTGAGAAAACAAAGGTTATGCTGCCCAATTTCCGTTAAATCAATGATGAGAGGATGAGAGTTAAGCAATGATATAGGGATATCGCAAGCTTGTTAAATAGGTTGTAAAATGTGTAGGATTGATTCCCCAAGAAAGATACATGAAAAATATGAGTATAGGAAATTGCCCAGAAGAGGGGGCTTAAGCCTGCAAATGGAGGCTTAAGCCTGCTCAGGGGGCTTAAGCGCCCTGATGCACCTGTGAAGACCAAAAGCTCTCTGCCGCCTGGGGCTTTAGCGCCCAAAATGGGGGCTTAAGCGCCCAGGTAGTGCGCTTAAGCGCCCTTGGTTGCCAAAAAATGTGAATTCCCTCTGTCTGTGGGCGCTTAAGCGCCCTGGAGCGCGCTTAAGCGCATTGTCCGCGTAGTTTTTCAGCATACACCTGAGTTAGTAAAATTGTCATAACTTGAGCTACAGATCTCCAAATGAGGAGCGGTTTGAAACCACGCGTAGCTAACGAAGAGATCTACAATATAGTAGAAGTTGTGAATTAAATAAGAAGTAAATTAATGGTTTAAAAATAGAATTAGAACATGATATTAAGCTCGATTTATCTGATTCCGCAAAGTAATATGGTTATGATCACGCAAATGGGATATTTTAAATTCGGCTTCGTTTTAAAAAGAAAAATTTATCCGTATTTTTAATTGAGCCAATGTGATTGTAACTGCGCTTAATATCATAATGCGATGTTAACAAACCGATTCTAGAACGGGGTGTTACATCCCACGACAGAGCTTCTAAGAATAATGATCATACCTTGACCTTCTAGCATCAAAGAAGTCAAAATCATTCTCAAATTGGTCTTTGGAAAATGAAGCCGATGGCTCTGAGGCTGAAGAAAAAGAGCATAAAAGTAAACACCAGCATGGAATGATATATAAATCATTACTTATGTCAATATGTTACGATTCGCAAATCAATGAAGTCATACATGTTATATGTACGTTACATTACATCAGATCTATGACTACGTAATAGACGAAATTTTGACCACTGGTAAAAATCACTAGCACAAACCACTGGTACTAGTCACAAATGTGCATAATTGTTGCTCCATCTGAGCATAACCAACAAATGTTTAAGTAGTATCATTCTTAAATAAATAGACACAAGGTCTATGATATGTTTGAATGAAGTGTCAAATGACCAGACAAATCCGTACCAATTTTTTAGGTGCATATGACATAACTGGAGAACAGAAACTCACAGTTGGGTACTAACCAGATCAGGTCAAAATTAAAGAATTATGAATCTTGTTAATGTCATTGATGTTCCAAGAATACATTTTAAAACAATGAACTAAAAAATATATCGTCTTTCATTGATGGTCTAAGGAAGTAAACTGTACCATGAATGTTGATCTCTTTCATTGATGTTGCTGAAGACCTGCACAACCATACATAACAACCATCTGTATGTAAAAAATATTATTATGGGAAACAGGGAAAGTTGTGTTCAAATACAGCAAATACCAATTCTTTGGGAGGAGGTCTTCAAAAGCATAACTTTCCATTTTGTAGGCTCCACTTTTCAATAATTCACAAGATTTAGAACCCATTTGAAAAGTCTTCTTATATGAGGTATCATATACCATCTCATTGTCAAATTTCTCATCAAGGAAGCCAGAACAGGCTATATTACAAAAAAGGCGGAAGGGTTAGATATTTTTCAAATAGCAATAAAGATGGCCATATCATTTCTTAAAAACACTAAATACGTGACCGTGAGCCGAAGCAGCGCTGGTCTTAACAGATTAAGTATCGTCAAATCCTAGACATATGTGTATGAGTATGACCCGTGAACGTTTTAACTGACTCATTGACCCATAAAACTAAATTTACAGTCTTACCATTCCACATGTCTTCATTACTATTTTCAGTCTTGTAGAAGAATTCTTCATTAATGGAAGAGCAATTTTTGTTAAAATGGTCATAATAATGCTTGCAGTCTCCATCATTTGCGGAACTTCGCTTTACTTTGTTAAATGGGAAATTTGAAGAACTGATAGGCGAAACCTTAATATCTTGCATCATTGTATCCTGTAAGTAGTGAGTCACATTACGTAATCTCAACATAGTTACCCAATACAAGACAGTTTGAATTAAAAAGGCAGAATATAATGATAGAAGAACAAGTGGTCCAACTGTGATGTAATCAAGAAACTAGAAGTAGCAAAGACGAATAAAAGAACGAGGTATGAGGATCCACAAGTACAGAGGTCAATCATGCACGATTATATCTTTTGTCATATTACCATTACAAGTAATTACTAAGCTATCTCTACTTAAAAGAAACAGATCCTTTGCCTGAACGATTATTTCTCCAATCAAAACACCATAGCCAAGTGATAACTCACTAAGCCAATTCACCCCTGCTTATAAATACGAATCTGGCTTTTCAAAGCAGATTCTCCATATGTACTTCCCAATACTGTGCATACATTTTATATTATAACCAAAGATTATGGACAAAATTTTGGCTTCAACCTTTATTGGTGCTTTAACAACTTTTCAAACACAATGGCATACATTATTTTATGGTATCCTGCTAGTCAATAGTCATCAATCCCGTAGTTTAATTTTATACCATTGACAAAATTATTTCAGATATAACAATTATGAAAGCACGTTAATAAAAGAAAAGATGTAAATTCTTCAGGTACAAAAACTAAATATAGAAGATTTATATCAGTTCAGGTATGGCTGAAATTATTAACATGTAGTTTCTGAAGATGAAGATAGTATTAATCCAAAAATAAAATATAGAAAGATGGTTTCGGTATTTGCCTCACCACTTCAAGATCAATGTCATCCAGCACATGGTTAAGGTTCTTTAAATTTGATTTCTTTCCATCCTTCGGCAATGGAGAGTAGCTGTATGGAATTCTAAAAACCACAAATTACAAAATATGTTCAAAACGTTTCATCAGTTTATGCTAACAGCCTGTGAATTGCCATGAATGCTAACCTCATATTGCTATGTATGCTACAAAACCCCTTCCGTAATAAAGGACAACTGTTGAGGTTATGTTGTTCATTGAAATATTGTCAACCTCATAGAATTCCAATTTTATATTCAAGAACCACAAGTTACAAGGGGATGTTGTTTCACATGACTGCTTAAGGTTCCCTTTCATAAAACTTGTAAAGAACCATTTTAACCCAAAAGTTTAAACTTATAAGTGATTGGAGTTCAATAGTTTTATATTATATCTCTCTAACACACACCCTCACATAAGAGCTCTTTGAGCTTGAATAGTGGATATTGCACCGTCTATTTTTTTTTCTACCTTGTACTAACTTAATTCCACTAAAAAGTAAGGGCGGTGAGAATCGAACTTGTGACCCTGTGGTCACCTTGGTTCTTATACCATGATAAGCAATCATTTCAACCCAAAAGCTTAAGTTTGTAAGGGGTGAGCTTTCAATGATTTTATATTACATCTCTCTAACAAAACTAACGGAACAACAGTCCCAGGCTCCCAGCATTCATAAGTAGTATAAGGTATACTGTTTAAAAGAACCCTAGCTAAAGCTAATATCTCATACTTGCAATGAAATATGAGGCTATTCTTTTGCACTTTTAAACATCGGAAAGAGGCTCCATATAATAACCCTCACTAGTAGTTGTAGATTTAATTTTGAAGAATAATTAGAAGTAAAAGAAATAAAGTCACCTTAGGTGAAAAATGAGTTAAAATGGCAGTTAAGGGGTAAAAATGCGGATAAACAAAGTTACCCGAAAAGTGAAAGTAAAGTTAAAAATATGACTAGAAAAATATTCTAGTCCATTTGGTAAAGTTTAGTAATGAATGGAGGTGTGTAGATAGATAAACTTTTACGCAGTTGAATTTAACTTGACCTATATAAGTTAAATTTCAAAACAATGCACTCTTCCTTCTTCTTTCTTCACGCCGTCGACAGAGAGGGAGAGAAGAGAATGAGTTTTTGATCTCAAATCTTCCATAGCTCATAACTTGAGCTAGAGACCTCCAAATCACTTCGTTCCAAAGCCAAACTTGTGAGAAATTTCGAGAGGAATCCATTAGTACTAGTATTTCTGGGTGGGTTTCACTGTAGAGAGAGACCTCCTCCTCCAAAGATTTCGAATTTCATGGAAAAGATGGATTTTGATGGAGCTTGAGGCCGTGGGAGCTTAGATACTCATCTCTCCTTTGTTTTAGAGTGCATTGTGGTAAGAAATTCCCTTCCTTTTCATGAAGATTGAATTTATGGTTTCATTTTAAAAATTTGGTTTGATTGAGCATGTTAGAGCTTGATTCAGGTTTAGCTCATGTTGAGAAAAGTGTTTAGATGAGAATTTTAACGGTGAAAATGTATCTAAAATATTAAAGATACCATATTTTTGAATAGTGTTGTATACGTGAATAGTGACGTATACATGAATAGTATTGTAGAGATGAACAATACCGTATATATATATATGAATTAATGAATCTTGGATTAGAGGTGTGTAATAAGCTTGAATTTGATGGACTAAAGCATTGGAATCATGAAGTTGGCATGAATTCTTTTATGTGCCTCTTAGCCATTTACAAAGGAAGTATGTGCTATGAGTTACTGTTTTACAAATCGAGCATACTTTTATGCGTGGAATAATATTCTAAGGTGTATGGACCTTCGCTTTGGTGAAATAAAAAAGAAAATAAGGTAGCTCCTTTGTATGACCATAAAATGAGTTTTAGCCATTTTCAAAGGAGGTATATGTTCGGAGATATTATTTCGCAAAGTGAGAACACTTATACGCGTAAAATAATTTATATAGGTGGCTAAGCTTGGGTTTAGGCACTAGACAAAGAGAAATCTTATAGCTCCATTGTAATGGGCATTCTGCCTTAAGTTGGGACTATCCTAAGACTAAGTGAATATGTGAAATTTTGTGGGGATTTATTGAACAAAGAACCACCCACTCATGACTTAATATGATTAAGTAAAAAGAAAATAAACAATAAAGTGTGTGTCTTGTATATTTACATGGCATTATATCATTTTATTGAGTTTTGTGTTGAATTCCTTCTCTAGGTGTACCTAGGGACTGTGAACGTTTGGATTCTCGTGGAGCATGATAAGTAGCTTGTTCTTTAAGTAAGCAAATTGTAAAGCTCCAAGAGGTAAGCTCTATGTTTATGGGGTTCGCTCCTACTTTGTGTTCCGCCATAGTGTACGGACTGTGGTCAGGTTGTATGATATGTATGAGATATATGATATAGATGCATTCATATAGAGCTATATGATAATATGATATGTTTTGTTATGATATGACTTCTGTAATATGATTTCTGTAACAATATCTGGCCATTGATTGTATAGTACCCGGATGTTCGCTTTGGGGTCCTCCCTCGGGACTGACTGCGTACGCCTCTGATATGTTCTGGTTCCGCTTTGGGGTCCTCCCTCGGGAACACGTGCGTTGATTTCCGCTTGGGGTCCTCCCTTGGGAATGACTGCGTACGCCTCTGATATGTTCTGGTTCCGCTTTGGGGTCCTCCCTCGGGAACACGTGCGTTGATTTCCGCTTGGGGTCCTCCCTTGGGAATGACTGCGTACGCCTCTGATATGTTCTGGTTCTGCTTTGGGGTCCTCCCTCGGGAACACGTGCGTTGATTTCCGCTTGGGGTCCTCCCTTGGGAATGACTGCGTACGCCTCTGATATATTCTGGTTCCGCTTGGGGTCCTCCCTTGGGAACACGTGCGTTGATTTCTGCTTGGGGTCCTCCCTTGGGAATATCTGCGTACGTTTCTGATAAGATATGTGTATATGTTTTGTTTAGTTATGATATTGGATTATATGACATGTTTTATGGGATATGAATGATGATTTTGTAAATGATATTTGTTACGTACGTTGATTTCCGCTTGGGGTCATCCCTTGGGAACGATTGCGTACGTCTCTGATATAACACGTTTTGTTCTGATGTGAGTATTGTGATGATTTTTGTAAAAGATATTTGTTACGTGCGTTGATTTTTGCTTGGGGTCATCCCTTGGGAACGATTGCGTACGTCTCTGATATAACACGTTTTGTTCTGATGTGAGTATTGTGATGATTTTTGTAAAAGATATTTGTTACGTGCGTTGATTTTCACTTGGGGTCATCCCTTGGGAATGACTGCGTTTGTCTTTGATAAGATATGTATATATGCTTTGTTCAGTTATGATAATTGCTTATATGATGTTTTGTATATTATGTATCTGACTGTCATGCAGGAAGTGAGCCCAGGGTATGGAGGGTTTTCCATAAACCTGGAGTTTACTAGAGATTCGTCTCTAACCCCGTTTGGGGATATGATTTCAGGAACACAGTTAATTGAAGAGCCTCACGGGACAAGGACACTAACCGTGGCTAGAGGTACTAGTATGAGGATGTGGAGTTCTGGGTGGTCGGATGCTACTATTTGTTTTAGACGTATTTTTGGAAAAGATGTATTGTTGCATAGTGTTCATATTCGATACATGTACATTTATGTATTCAGGCATGATGATATGACTATGTAGTATTCAGCTATGTTATGTATTGGATTGCATGCTATTAGATTTGTGGCGGAGCCAAGTTCAGCATGCGCCCATAGATGGGTATCTGAGTATAGTTGCATGACTGGTACTTCTGGAAATATATATTGTTTAAACTGTCTATCAGGAACTCTTGAGAGTGGGATTGGAAAATCCCCAGTTGTCCGATTTACAGAGGTTACTCTGTCCGATTTTCGTCTCCGTAAAATAAGAATTAAATTAGAAGAAGTATGCAATGTGATATGTCATGTGAAAAAGGATTAAAGAAAAAGAAAAAGTTAGTTCGTATTTTCGTAAGTTAAGTCTTCCGTTGTTTCTGTTAAGTATCATATGCATGTTAATTGAACCGGCTCGAGGCTGGGGATGTTACACTCCAAGTAAAATCAAGAGGTCTAGCGAGAATGAGAGACTTGATTGAATGGAGCAAATTGTAACTGTAGCATTGTTCAAGGCTTCCTATACAACTAAAATGGGCATCATCACGAATAAACATGCCCAGATGGATGTTTAATTAGCAACAGGTCATGTATACCATTACAAATGTTACAGGTATGCTTGTTTATTAGCCAAAATTTTCATCAATGCGAGTGAGATGGTTTGGTGATACTGTTAAATGAAATTTAGCAAATTTCCACTTTGTAACGAAATAAAGTTATTTGGCCTAAAACCATGCCATTGACAATAGTTGCTTTAATCACATTATGGGAATATTAAAAATATAAATAATGTTAACAGAAAACTCTTACATAAGGAAGTACCAATTAATAAATGAACTATCCTAAATATTATCAATCTAGTTACCTAGCCCGTTGTTCTGGCGAATGAACTGGCGTCTCTGTTCCCACTTTACCCAAACCTAGAAAGATTCAGTAAATGTTATATGAAAAAATGACAGAGCAACAGACAATTGGTAAACATTGATATATATAAAGTTCCATTTTATCTTAATGTGGAAGTACATCATGCAATCATCTAAGAGACAACACCTGCAAGAACAGAGATGTATTGAAAGACATGAACTGAGCAAACCACAGATTAATTTGAGTGCCAAGAGACAAACATAGAATGTTAAAGACATCAATTACCTGAGGAGGAAACTTAGATTAAGACTTTTTTTGGTTTCATTACTACGTTTGAAGATCTCAATTTTAACCATTATCATCAATTCTTTACTTTCCATTATAATAAATTGTGTTTGAAATTAAAGAGATTTAGGTAGGAAAAGAAGAAAAGAGAGAATAAAGATTGAATAATCTGAAAGAACTAAAACTTATTCTCCAAGTAATTATACACAGCAAGAACTAAAACTTAATCTCTAATTACATCAAGGGTAGCATTTGGAAGCTTCAAACCACAAGAAAACTTAGGAGACCCAAAAAAAATGAAATTGAAATTGAGTTTGACGTCCATCACAGCCATAAAGAACTGATCGTTAGTATGACTCATTAGTAAGATAGGAGAAATCACCATCGGTATGATTCTCAATGGAAATCCGGTATAAATCATAGACAATTCTTCATTGTATTACTCATTGGCAAGAAAGAAATCACCGGAATAATCATTGGTAAGGAAGAGAACAACATGACATTTACGTTAGAATATCTAGAATATATTAGAATTATATCTATTTTTCTCATATTTCATGATTTATTTCCCTATTTTAGGAGTCTACTAATAATATAAATGGGGATTATTACTTTGAATTTTGTATCATATCCTTCGTAACAATGTCAATATAATTCTATTCTAAAAGTATTTGTTGTCCTCCCTCTAACTAAACCCCATAATTTCAACAATTGCGTTGAATTGTTATTCATATTGAAATGAATCAAAATTGAAAAGGAGTTGGTCAATGATGCTCGAACATGTAATTGTTTTGAGTGCCTAAGATTCTAAAGAAATAAAGGGAAGAAAAGAAAGGGGTAGAGACCGCTGGTCTTTTGTATTCATTTTAAATATTTTTCAATCTTTTTTGAATATATAAATAGAGAAGAGAGGATAGGCTCAATATAGAAAAAAAAGTAAAGAATCTTGGGATACACCACCCCAAAAGCTAGCTCAAAGGGTGGGAGTGTCCAAGTTCTTATAAACTCCACATTAGTTGCTCATACAACCAATGTGAGACTATATATCTCAACACGCCCCTTCACACAAGAGCCCAATGGGCTTGAAGAGTGGATGATGCAACAGGCTCAGCCTACCTGTGCTAAGAAATTCTACAAGAGAAAGTGGGGGGCGGCGAGGTTCTGATACCATGTAAAGAACCTTGGGATACACCACCCCAAAAGCTAGCTCAAAGAGTGAGAGTGTCCAAGACCTTATAAACTCCACATTAGTTGCTCATACAACCAATGTGAGACTATATATCTCAACAGATATGAAAATTTTCCATAGGTAATTGAGTGTGAGAGCCAAATGAATCCAAAGATTCATGTTTGGTTCACAATTAAGAGAAAAATCAACCGGACAACTTTGCTTTCCATCAAATTTAAAAAGGAAATATCCGTACATGTTGTTGATGAGTATATATCAATATTGACATTGATCCTACAAATAATGCAATATGAAATAGAAGGGGATCCAACATGAGTTAAAAGCGAGATATACCTTCAAGTGAAAAAGAAACATGAGCTTCGCAGGTGGGACACTTTTCCACAGTGGCATTAAGCTCATCATCACAAAGCAGATCGATAACAGATAATTCTGAGTCTAAGAACAAAGACAAATCAATAGGTGAGAGGAAGAAAGTTTGGAGGATTATGGGTAGGTTGATGAAAATAAAAATTAGATGTTGTAAAGAACCAATTCAACCTAAAAGTTTAAACTGTTAGATGAGGTTACATTAATGATTTTATACTTCTTTAACACGCGTCCTCATACGAGAGCCCATTGGAATTGAAGGGTGGACAATGCACATGTCCACCTACCTATGCTAAGAAACTCCACAATACTTAATTGATTATTAATTAATTGATTATTAATTAAATGGAAGGTGGTGAGCGTAACACCGAGGCTCTGATATCATATAAAGAACCATTTCAACCCAAAAGTTTAAGCTCATGGATGAGACTACGTTGATGGTTTTATGCTTCTCTAATAGATGTTAAATAATTTCCACTGTTATGGCCTCAAAACCAAAAATATTAATGGAATCTTATTTTATTATGGCCAGCAACACAGTCCCAACATGCATGTGTTGGATATCTGTAATATGCTACCTACATTGATCAGTGACTGTCTTCCAACGGCTTGGTGCTCCATTAAAAGCAGTATTCTGGTGATCAGGTGCACTTACTAAAACCCTGTCAAATGATAAAATATCAATAGTTTGAATGGTGAGAAATAAGTGCATGTTAGGTGAAACAAATAAATGGTGGTTGAAGGTTATCTTCAGAATAACCAAGCCTATCCATTTAGAAATAATCATCTCGGAAGTTATAATTGTCTTCGTATTTGCCCAACTCCCAAAAAGAGAAGAGAAAGGAGAGTGAGAAACTGGGAAAGGAAATAAGGGGGGGGGGGGGGGGGGGGGGGGGGGTGCAAGAAGCAAGCAAACCAATTGAAGGTTTGGTTTGATTTCAAATTCTGCCAATTGGTTTAATTTTAAATTTGTTTTGATTAGTTTGGTCCAGACTCCAGATTTCTGAAATTTTCTGAGCCACATACCGAAGTATCCTATTTAATAAAGTATTAAATTTTGAACCACATCAAACCAAACCAACTCCCACGCACCTATTAAAGGAAAATAAAAAAGACATAATGGAATCAGAAGCAACCAGTAAAAGCATGTTATGTCTAACATTTCCTTCTAGCTTCATTGAGAACACCTTTTATCTGTTTGCTTGCCATGGATGTGTTACTAGGTTGAGCAATAATTTAGAAGAAAAAAGTGAAATAATGTGAACAATTAGGCAATGCAGTCATTCTCCAGCCTCATGAAAAGCCCCTTACGTCCATTCAATTGCTTTAAGATATATGTCTTAACCAGTAGAGTAATAAAGTAGAAGGTTCAATAACAATTAACAAAAACATTTGAAAGTAAGGATTCACTCACTTCTTTGGTGATGTTTCAATCGGGTAGCGTAAAGGTGCTCCTGCTCCAGTATAAATTCATTATAAATTGCATATCTCAGTTCAAATTGCATTTAAATGAAACCAGTTAGACTTGACAGTTGACACGGTTGTGCAAATGTACTAGAGCACATACTTGCTTCTTCAAATTTGCAAGAATTTACAGTAGTATCCACATTGGTAAACATTGTTGGCTGATTTGTTGCGACACTGCCTGGCATGCTAGAAACATTGATTTCTCCATCATCCCTCCCTTTCATTTTTGTTCAAGAAATAATTGGGGGGAAATTGATAATTTTAGTAAACTGGACATAAGAAAGAAAAGAAACAGATGCCATCAAAATAAAAGAAACAAGCAGCAGCAGCTTTAACTGCACAATTTGGCAAGGAATTCTAAATCCTAATAAATCTTTTTCCTACCATATCACATGGCTGTCCTTCAGGAAGTCTATCAGAAGATGAATGTTTTGAGCCTATAACTTAATTACCAAAATTAGCAGCCAGTTTTTAATATATTGGAATCATTTCCATATTAGCTAATTAGTATAACATCAAAAATGGGAAAGAAAGAAAATGAGTGGATAATACTAAGCAGCCATATATTATTTGTTTGAAAATCTCATGAAGAAACCTTTTTCTCTCCTTTGTAAACAAACAGAGAAGATCCTGAATAGGCTTGGTTAATGTTCAGTGCAACTGTTAACTATAAATAACCCTCCATTAGCTAGTTATTGTCCATGCCTCATGAATAAATTAAACCCGACAAGATTGGGAAACTACTCATACGATCAATATATTCTACAAAAAAGTACGTTTTTAAACTTCACATGTAAACCTTATTTTCAGGACTGTAAAGAAACAGGATTACAGGAGCAATAAAACTGCTAATGCAGAAAGAATATTAGATGCATACCCTTTGGGCAGGAAGAATTGCATTTCTGAGCATTTGTTGACAAGTTTAGCAAATTAAGAATGTCCAGAGACCGATTTTCTTTGAGGCTTTGTCCACTTATGCCTGGGCTATCAGAACAGTTATCTGATCCCAGCATCTGCAGATTCTGTTGTTGACGTTTCCTTTGTTCGAAGTATTGCTTTTGCCTGATGGAAATAAGGAGTTCATTACAATTCCAGCATGTAACTACCAACTCTCAGCAGGACCACTCTTCTCAGTCTCGACCAACCAAATTTCATTGGGATAAGAATATCTAACATCTATGTTTTACCTCTTCTGTGTAGACTTCCTTGACTGAAAATTCCCATCTCAGCGCAGGGGATATCATGCACCAAATACATAGAATGTTTTGATATCAGAAGAAAAACAAACATCATTTATGTTGCTTAGTTCAAATAATTTGAAATTTGGAATGGCATGTGATACAAACCCAACTGTCAATGTCCCAACACCTCGCCCACGTAAGCCACCATCTTACCTCTCAGACTACGTGCAAGGAAGATACAACAATAGAAGTTAAAGACTTGCTGACCTTCAGTTATTTTAATAGACCAAATGCACGTCCACTGCATTCTTGTATTTTTGTTGTTTAGTTTTTATTTTCTGCGGTGTCAGTTATTAAGTTTTAATTAGTGGGAAGTCAGTTATTAAGTTTCAGTTTTCTGTAATTAGTGGAAAGAAACTGCTCATTGTAATTTGTATTTAATGTTTTTATCATTTAAATGAAAGGATCAGAATTATTATCCCATTTACGTTACTTTTCAAAGCTTAGCCTTTTTGCTAAAAAGGTCCCCATCATTTGGTGCTTTCATTGAACACACTCTCCCTCCATGGCAGAAGGAACACGGTTCCGGAAGCTTGAAGAAACACAAGAGACTCAAACAAACCATATCAATCAACTTCGTGACTCTACCACCAAAACCTCTACCCAAATTTCTGAACTCACAGAACAAACCAACCAAACTGTCCTTCGTCTAAATGAAGTTCAAACTACTCTCACCACCTTGCTGGGGCGCCTTGATCAACTGACACTTAGCAACAATACCAATTCTTCCAACACACCACCTCATTTCCCTCCGGTCCTTCAACCTCGTGCCTTTAAGCTAGAGTTTCCTCGGTTCAATGGCAGTGATCCATCAGGATGGCTCTTCAAAGCAACACAATTTTTTGACTTCCACAACACTCCCCAACACCAAAAGCTCCAAATAACTTCCTTCCACATGGATGGACCAGCTCTAGCATGGTTTCAATGGATGCACTCTAATCATCCATTTCATGACTGGAACGAGTTCACGCAAGCATTAGAAGCTCGCTTTGGTGACTCACCATATACTGATCATATGGGATCCTTAGCCAAACTTCAACAGACCACCTCTGTGGCTGACTACATTGCCACGTATGAAGCATTAGCCAACCGTACCACCAACCTCCCTGCAGAATTCCTCCTTCGCAACTTCATTTCCGGTCTCAAACCAGCCATACGACAAGAAGTCCAGGCCTTACAACCAACCACTATTTTTTCCGCCCAAGGATTAGCCAAACTACAAGAGGAGAAACTTGCCGATCTACACTCTAAACCCACTGCCATCACTGCTCTAGCCTTGCCTGCACCAAAATCAACGACTCTGTCACGCCCTTCCATTTCTTCAACACCTTCCCTTCCACCCGGTGTCCGTCGCCTCACACCTGAGGAAATGAAAACCCGCCGTGAACAAGGATTGTGCTTTAATTGTGACGAACGATTCTCCCGTGGCCACAAGTGCAAACAACCCTCCAATCTCCTTCTCGTAGAGGATATCACTGACATTCCACCCGAAACTGAAATCGACCCAATCACCCCCCTTTCAACCGAAACACTTGACATCTCTCTCCATGCCTTTGCTGGCCAAGACTCTCCTCGTACACTTCGTCTGCAAGGGTACATTAAGGGTGTCACAGTACAAGTTTTAGTGGATGGCGGTTCAACTCACAACTTCATTCAACAACGGATGGCAAACCACCTTCATCTTCCTGTAGATACCAATCACTATTTTCCTGTTACAGTGGGTAATGGAGATACGTTGCAGTGCTCTGGTTTGTGTCTTGCTGTTCCTGTTCAACTTCCTGGACACATTTTTCACATTGATTTATTTGTTCTTCCCCTCCATGGTGCTGATATTGTTCTTGGAGCTCAATGGTTGCGTCAATTAAGCCCAGTTACCTTTGACTACCGTCTCCTTACCTTGTCATTTCATTTCAACTCTGAACCTGTCACACTTCATGGATACACTCCTCCTATGTCCACCCCTATTACATCATCCACAGTAAGACGTCACTTGGCTACTTCTTCCATCGCAACACTCTACCATCTTCACCTTAATACAGATTCTACATCCACTTCTCCCACTATTCCACACGGCATTGCCCCTATCATCCAACCCTTTCACCATCTCCTTGAGCCACCTAGTGGTCTTCCTCCCCCCAGAAACCAAGATCACCGCATCCTCTTACTTCCAGGAGCCAAACCCGTCAATGTCAAACCCTACCGTTACCCGTACTTTCAGAAACAAGAAATTGAGCGTCAAGTTCATTCAATGTTGCAAGATGGACTCATTCAGCCTAGCCTAAGCCCATTTAGTTCACCTGTCCTCCTTGTCCGTAAAAAAGACGGTACCTGGCGCTTTTGCGTTGACTTTCGTGCCCTCAATGCCATCACTACCCGTGACCATTTCCCTATCCCCACCATTGACGAGCTCTTTGATGAACTTAGGGGCTCCAAATATTTCACCAAACTTGACCTTCGCTCCGGCTTCCACCAAATTTGTATGCACCCAGATTCCATTCTCGCCACTGCTTTTCGTACCCACCAAGGACATTATGAATTCAAAGTCATGCCCTTCGGACTCTGCAACGCACCATCCACCTTTCAGGCCACCATGAACTCCATCTTTGCTCCTTACCTGCGCCGCTTCGTGCTCGTCTTCTTTGACGACATCTTGGTCTATAGTCCCACATGGGAATCCCACTTAACCCACTTGAGTGATGTCTTCTCACTGCTGGCTCAGCACCAATTGCACATCAAGTTATCTAAGTGTTCATTTGGACAAACTACAATTAATTACTTGGGTCATATCATTTCTGCTGCTGGTATTGCTGTTGATCATGCTAAAATTACAGCAATCTTGGAGTGGCCTACTCCTCGTAACATCACTCAACTTAGAGCTTTCTTGGGCTTGGCCGGTTATTATCGGCGCTTCATTAAACAGTATGCTACTATTGCATCTCCTCTGACCTCTTTATTATGCAAAAATAATTTTCTTTGGACAGAGGATCAAGACAAAGCTCTCGAAAACCTCAAGCAGGCCCTCACCAATGCACCTGTTCTTCAGCTACCAGATTTCTCCGCCCCATTTTGTGTAGAAACAGATGCTTCCGGTGATGCCATGGGCGCTGTCCTCACCCAGCATGACCATCCTCTGGCGTACTTCAGCAAGCTTTTCTCCCCAAGAGTTCGTGCTGCCTCTACATATGTCAAAGAATTATGTGCTATCACAGAGGCTGTTCACAAATGGCGCCACTACCTTTTAGGCCGCGAATTCCTCATCCGTACAGACCATTATAGTCTCCAGCACCTACTCAACCAATCCATCCACACTCCTGAGCAGGAAAAATGGCTTTACAAACTTTTGGGCTTTCATTATCGAATTGTCTACAGGCCTGGCAAGCATAATGCTGCTGCAGATGCTTTGTCACGTTGTCCTACCATGCATGCTCTTTCTGTTCCATTACCAGCCCTCTTCACCAAAATTCAACAATTGCTACAAAAGGACCAGAAGTCTCTCACCATCATTGCTGCCTTACGTAAGGACCCCACTGCTTATCCTCATTATCGTTACACTGATGGTCTTTTGTTTTATAAAAACAGATTGTTCCTTCCTAATCCTTCCCCATTGTGCAAAGAAGTATTTGATGATCATCACAGTACTCTTATTGGTGGCCACTCTGGATATTATCGCACTCTAAAGCGATTGACTCAAGCTTTTTACTGGCCACAGATGAAGGTCGATATCAAGAAGTGGGTTCGTCATTGCACGGTTTGTCAACAAACGAAGTATGCTGCCACTTCACCTCAGGGCCTCCTTCAACCGCTTCCCATTCCAACACGCGTTTGGGATGATGTCACCATGGATTTCATTGTTGGTCTCCCGCCTTCACAAGGCAAGACTTCTGTTTTAGTAGTGGTTGATCGTCTATCAAAGTATGCGCATTTTATTTCCCTGCCCACTAGTTTCACCGCTCAGAGTGCAGCCAGTGCATACATTCAACATGTTGTGAAGCTCCACGGCATCCCCAAAAGTATCACAACTGATCGTGGCTCGGTTTTCTTAAGCTCCTTTTGGCAGGAACTCTTCAAACAGCATGGCACCACACTACAGGTCAGCTCGGCTTACCACCCACAAACCGATGGACAAACCGAGGTTGTGAATCGTTGTCTAGAACAGTATCTCCGTAGCCTTACCATGGACAACCCATCCTCATGGACCAAGCTATTACATTGGGCAGAATATTGGTATAATACTACATACCATTCTTCTGCCAAGATGACACCATTTGAGGCTTTATATGGACGTCCCTCTCCGACTATTCCTGACTATATTTCGGGTGGTACTCCACACTTTGAAGTGGATCGCCTATTGCATGATAGAGACACACTGCTGCAAACACTCAGAAGTAACTTACAAAAGGCCCAACAACGCATGAAAGCTCTTGCTGACAGCAAACGCACTGATCGCCAATTTTCCATTGGAAGTTGGGTCCTTGTTAAACTTCATGCTTATAGACAACATTCCCTAGCCCAACGTCAATCCTATAAGTTGTCCCGACGTTACTATGGCCCCTTCCAAATTCTTGCTCGCATTGGTTTAGTTGCTTACAAGCTTTCCTTACCTTCTTCCTCCCGTATACACCCTGTCTTCCATGTGTCATTACTTAAACCTTTTTATGGAGACCCCAACACACCCAACAAGCTGGCCCTTCCAGAACCGGATCTTGAGAACC